CATAGTGTAACGGAACATTTGGGGTATCTGTTTGAATGCTGCCAAACACCTCAGTTGCATCAAGGAGCTTGAAACCGTTTCCCCTATTCGATTTGGGAGCACAAAGGTTACTGTGGGCATTTATTTATTTACTTTTTTGACCGGCAAAACAAATATTCAGACATAAAGCCAGTGGTGACATATTACAGAAAATGAATTGCAGCTGACATTGTGAAAATCGCTGTCAGAATCACCATACCATTTGAGACGATGATCGTCTTTTGGGTCCCGTTGCATAAATCTTTCTGACAGCATGTTCTAATCAACCCGTAGCCCATTAAACGCGAGTCTGTTGGCTTGCATTCAGTGTCACACCCTCGTGATGTTGTTAACACTTTATTGTTGGTGTAGCTCTGTGAAATCTGGAAGACAGAATTTGGTGCAACAGCAAAAACAGTTAATCAAAATTAATGTGCAATGGAACTCTGATGGTATCAAACGCTGTCATGAGTTTTGATGTGAATATCAGGCCTCTAACAGGGGCTGCAATTAAATATCGTTACTGTGAATACTGCATTACACTGGAAGCTTTTGAGAGCTTGCGAGAAGGAACTAAATCAATCCGTCCGTTGGAATCGATCTTTCTCCTAGTCACTGCCAACTGTCTATCAAATGGATAAACAGGCAGTTCACAAAAAAGATTTTGAATGGTTACCGTAACAATTGATCTCATTCAATGTTATATTTTATTCAATTATTCAGTTGTTTATGGACGAGCTAGATGAGCAAATCAGTCTGTCATTGAGATTTTCATTCTCTATTTTACCATTTACCAGCCACACACCGTCATTATTAACATTATAAATTTCAACTAAACATTATATTGGATGACACATGTGGAATCAGATAGACAGTAAATGTTTGAAACTTGACATGTTTTGTTGGATCGTTCGATCTTACGTTGTCAATCCATGGTAATCATCACTTACGGAACAAAATGTACACCCAGATTTGGTGGTTGCTGTCGAGGGTTTGAATGGTGACGGACATAAGGTGCATGTGTAGCAATTAATTGCGTCACCTAAAACGGGAAAACAGGTAACAGTGCTGTTGATTAGAAGAGGTAAAGATGATGCACAGAAATGACAAGCTGCTGCTGGGAACCATCGTAAATATTGAATGGAATATTTTAAATAGGTATATCTATATCTAATGTTGTCCAGAGGACATGCTGTATGTTTACATAATCCTCGTCTCGGTTAGGTCACCGATGCATTCATTCTCTGGGGTTGCTTTATCGGGTTTCTTTATCCGTGGCTATGGTAAGGCGAAAGCATAAACTAGCTTGTTCTAATTGCAGACAGTGGATCCAATATTTGGATTGTGGTCGCCTCGGTCCTGTATAGGATGATAAACTGGAGAGTCATCTTGAAGGCTTTGAAGATGTGTGACAAATAACACGGAACGATCGGTCAACATTAATTAGGAAAAGTGTTTCCAGCGTGTGTTGGTGGATAGCACTTTTCACATATGAATAATGTACATCGTTTGGTATGACCAAAACCGGGTAGATCATTGCTAATAACCCTTGTATAATTGTACTCACCAGCTGATGAATCATATAATACACCTTGTTCTTCTTACTGGACTTTGTTCTCAACGGAGAGGCAGTGCGCATTCGATGGTTTAAAAAGTATTGTTTTATTTGGAGCACAACTAAAATTCGTGGTTTCGCGGTTCTACCTTGCATCGAGTAGGCCCATCTGGTACACAATTGAAAAATCAAATGAAAATCTCTGCTTACCTTTTTTCTGTCTATGACCAAATGGGACAATTAAAAAATTGGAGATTCTCTTGGATTATTACATTTGGACAGTTGTTTTACTTCCTCTTATTGTACACATAATTAAAAGAATCGATTTTTAGAAAGAAATGGTTGGCCACTCTAAAGGCTGCCAGAGTGTAATTCATGCGGGCGAATTTTGCCGGCTTGAATGAGCATAAGTACAGTATCCCGGAACAATTTAATGATGACCTGTGCCTCTTCCGATGACGAGAATTCGATTGAATCAAGAATTTGTTATATGCTTAGAATCGGTAGGCAATGCAGATTGTATGCACGTTCCATATCTGGATTCGAACTGATCGTTTGACTCAATTATTGTGCTGGTTCTTCTAAAGAAAACTATTCACAGAAATTTCACTGCATATGACCAAGTGTGATTTTCTCGCTGAGAATGGGATTCTTAAACCTTGAGTATTTCGTTTTAGGAAACCAACGCTGTTTATGTAAAGCCTACTACACAAAACAGACAGCGCTACGAATAACAAGGTATATATCTTTACTCTGTGGATTAGGAGAATAACTATCGGGGTTTTTACATGATAGCCAAATAATACAATTATTTTTTCACTTTACACTTCTGTGGCTATCATATGCGCAACCCGTAAGCGTGAATTATAAGTGCTAGTTATTCGGTGTAGCGCTCAATGTTGTCGCCGTTGACGGCGAATCTCGCACCTATTCTCTACTACCGGTATTTTGCATCATCCTTTCCAGTTGGAAGAGAAAATTGAAACAAAATATCCTTTTCCATTATTCAGTTTCAAAACTCTTCGTTGATGCACAAATATGGGATGAAGTAAGTGACGAAATATGGAAGCTGGATACTCGATCTTGCTAAGAATTTGGTACTGTTTACCTTGAATTAATTAAACAAACGAACGTTTCGCAACCAGAGGTTAAACTGATTCGGACAATCGTATCCGTAAAAGTTAAGCTGGTGAGCGAAAAAAACGAACGTAGTATTTCTTCCAATATTCAAATAGGACAGAATGAAGACAGAAGCATTCATCGAAATCGCTGGGTTGGACAGTAAATCGTCTTTCATAGGGTGATGCAGATCAACCAGAAGCTGAACCTAGTTCATTGTCTAGTAAAACGAGAAACGATGAGTAAAATAAAAACTACTTTCGACTGACTGAATACCCGAAAAAATTTAACGGCGAATAACGAAATGATAACACGATAATCTTGAAGTTGTTCTTACTTTGATCTTAGCTTTTGTCAGCAAACTCATGAATAACAGTTTCTAGAATGCAATGTATCCTACCTTTTTCGATATCGAGCTCTAAATAAATATTATCAACCTATTTGATCGTTTTTCATATGTTGAAAGTTCAGTTGCAGATGTCAACCATTTCTGTATCTGTTAGCTCACCTGCTTGTGGGAAACCGGCAATATTGTTCGTACCCTAGAGTCATTAGTTGACTGAGTGACTCGATAGCATCCGGTCTTATGGAATATGTGCTCAAAATAGGGTTGTCAAAAAGGTCACCTAGAGACATTTATGGGACTTTATTGAATCTGCATAGCCAGGAGAAATAAACTGTGTAATGCACTAAAAAATCAACTGCTGTTCCTGTTCATCATACACAAATAAAAACGGACTAAGCACATTTTGAGTTTTCATTGGCTTGATAACGTGGCGTTTTCAACTGTTGGTCCACAGATCAGACCGAAGCTAGATTACACAGTTGCTGAACTAAGTCAATCAAGAAATCCTAATTTTATTTGACCATTTTCCACCTCATTATAGCAGGAATCTTAATTGTTTGTCCCTATGCTACCGTCTAAAAGTCTGAGAATGAACAGTCGAATGGAATTGTCTATTTCATTTGTCTTTCCGATCAACAGTGGAATTATTCTAACTCACCGGTTGTTCCTCATTAACAACCATTTATACATTTTATCAAACCCATCGATCAAATCAAATTGTCCAATACCGAACAGCCTGCACTGTCATATAAAAATATCGATATTCAGTCTTAATATTTAGCATAAAACGAGGATGTGCACACGAGAAAGACGAACTCTCATTGTCACAGGGACACAATACGAACTCTGGTATTCGGACGGACGAACTAAATGTAAAAGAAAGACAAGGTATTGTCACATCACTCAGCACCGGGTCTTATAGAAAAAATGTATAAAAATGGGACGCAAAATGA